TACCATTTCTGTTAGACTGCCAAATGTTTTATTATCAATGTTGGCTTCTTATAATTTAATTTTGTAAACACGGGTAGAATAATGAAACAGATGTTCTCCAGCCATTATGGTTTGTGGCTGTGCATAGAGAAGATGACTTGGCCTGCATAGCTTTGAAGCTACTGTTTCACAGTAAAATACATATTAAGTATTTTATTTCCCACACTAGATAATTCTTCCCTTTTTTGTAATACTAACACAAATATGGTGTTATACCAATGAACATGCATTGTTTAAGTGCGCAAGAAATCGCGCCTGCTGCAGAGTCGTTACATGTTTAAGGATTAATCATCACCTCGCTCATCACTGTGTCCAAACACCAAGATGGCGATGGCTAAAATGATCAGCTGGTGCTCCACATACCGGTAAGTGTTTTCAGGTCACTGTAACCGCATCAGAGGAAAGACAAAGCACAGGTTACCAGGAAGCTTTTATTAGAATAGCAGAGCCATTTCTGGTCATAACTGTGATTACATTGGTAAAATAAAAATCCAGTGAAAGAAATGAAGAATAAGGTCATATACCATCAGTTCCTTGCAGAGGTGTACACGTTTGCTCCTGATCAAGTTTGGCCTGATGCTTTTTCAGTCGGCACATTCAAAGCGAAATATTACACAAATCAACTGATTTTAAAAATTTGCTCTGATTTGATTGTTAAATACAAATTCCTCCTCCTGTTCAACAATATTGAAGTTTGTTTAAGTGAAGCTTGTGCAAAAATAGACTTTGGGAGCGTGTTGCTCACTCGATCAGCTGAACGTAAGCGGCCGGGAACAGACCGGTACGTCCGTGACACTGTCCCTTCCACCAGCCCTCGTCAATCATCTCTATGTTGTAGATTATGTCGTCTGGATTGAAGGAGATCTCGTCATCGGCCTCTGCGTGAAAAAAGAAAAGCAAAGGATTTATGCTCACATTTAAAAGGAAAAATAAATACAAACAAAAGCACTTGTGTCACAGCGCCAAAGGAACACCTGTGCTCACGATCCCCTTTCAGTATGTAAACAAGGCAAACCAAAGTAGCCCAGATCAGCTATTCCACAATGAAACAGAACATCTGAAACAGAAAATGGAGAGTCTTACCTCCAATATAGTCATAAATCGCTATTGCCTTCTGGCCACATGTCAGGTCTTCATAGTCGTTCTCGTCAGCTGGGAGATAAAATATGCGAGATTAATGATCAGTAGCCACGAAAGGGGTCCTGATTAACTCACGGCTTTGCTTAGAGGCAGACCTTTACGCTGAGGAGGAAGAGGAGGGGGATGACCGATGTCTTCATACTCTCCATCATCATCATCCACATCTATTGACCTTTCAGGCAGAGGAGGGGCGCCTGGTTCCTCAAAATCGTCCAAGCGTGGTGGCAAGGCCGGGGGCTCCTCGTATTCTGGTTCCTCCTGAAAAGTGGAGTTAGATGATTTGTAGTTAAGCATCACAGGTGAGGATCATTAGAAAGGAACCCGTTTCAGAGACTT